ACCAGCTCACGCAAGTACTTGTCCTTCAGAGCAATGGCAGTCTTTTGTTTTTCAGCTTCGGCCGAACTACCCATTTCGGTCAGTCGGCCGACCTCGCCTCGGAGTTCGGCCATTTCCTTTCTGGCCTCTTCCAGTTCGGCCGACTTCGCCTCTGCTTCTGCCGCTGCTTGCCTGGTCACTTTCCTCAGCTCTAGCACTCTCCTGTGGGTGATTTGGTTCTTCTGTATGGCCTGACAAAGCAACTTCCTTTTAGCCGAAGAAAAAGTTGAAAATAAAAAGAGGAAAAAATAGAAATTCGACCGAAGTTACTAACCAGAATCATTGATTTAGTCGCAGACCGAATGGACTTCAGCTCGGTGGTTAATTGTTTTTGGTGATGCTCCATGTCTTTGGGCAGACACACGCTCTTGGCCAGGTTGATGGCCAACAGGTGGTCTTTCTCAGCAACAACCGAGTCTGTGTCTAGAATGTCTCGGTCGTTGAAGGTTAGTTTCGGTGCCCAGCAGCCGATGGTTCGGTCGAAGGACTCCGGTTGGGGGCTCGGTGGTAAGCTCGGCTGAATAGCAGGTTCTTCATCAACCAAAACTTGTTCGGTTTCGGCAGTTCGGGCACGTTTGGTTCGGCAGGAAGAGGATGGCTGTTGAGAAAGGAGGGCCACAACAGCAGGCTGCGATTGACTGGGAGGCGTTACTTCGGGCCTAGTTGTTTCGGTGAGAAGGGCCCTAACTCTGCTCCTCTTCGCCATCTCTTCTTCAGCGGTTAGTGGGACAAGTCTTATTTCGGGCAAAGTTGGGTCCGGTTCAGGTGCTTCTTCAAGAAGGAAGTCAGTCACTCTTGCTTTTCGGCGACCGCTTCTCCCATTTTCCAATTTATAGGTCGGCCAGGAATTTGGGCTTGAAAGTCCTCAAAATTCCCAGAGACCCAGAAGAAGTCATCATCATTAAGGTCCTTATCCGGTGTGTGCTTAATTATCTTCTCTCGGCGGCGGCGAATCCTAAGGTAGTAGACCCACCCAGCATTCTTCGAGCCGATGGAATACTGATGGAATATTTCGGCAAGGCCAAGGTTTAAACCGGTTTGGTGGTTTAGGGCGGCTATGCCCATGATAATACGGTATGTATTGGTGGACAGCTGGGTGGGGCATAACCTAGTCTGCCTAAGGAACTCACAAATCAGTGGTTGGACGGGAAACCGCAGTCCGGTTTCTATTATGGACTGAAGGGTAAATGGGACGAAGCCTTCATTGTCCCAGGGAGTAGCATCTTTCTTGGCCAACACCAGTTGGACGTCATCGGGAATCTGGTAATCTTGCCTAAATTCGGCCATGCCACCAGGGGTTTCGACTAAATATCTATACTTACCCATTTGTTGTATAATTTATGAATAAATTATTTCGGTACAAAAACTAGGCTCAGTAGCTCGGTTGGGCACACGCAGGAGTGCCTGGACAACCTAAGTCTGCAAGGTAGAAAACAAAGGGGTTAAGCACAGATCGTTGGACCGCGCTACAAATTATAAGCAAGATATGCAAATCCTACTTCGGCTTAGTGGGCGGGTTCTACCTCGGTTTATCCAAAGGTTTGTTAGTTCGGTCTTGAGCAGATTAGACCGGTTTATCGTCTAGGGGCAGCTTTCTGAGTTCGGTTTAAAAAACTAAGAAAGCTGGTCTAGCCCCAAGGCCTAAATCAGTTGTGGAATGAATAAAGTTACTTCGGTTAAGCTTCTAGGGGCGGCTTTCTGAGTTCGGTTTAGGAACCAAGAAGACCGGCTTGGCCCCGAAAGCTTAGTTCGGTTGACAACCGAAGTTCCTAGTTTTCTATACTCAAAATGTGGTGATCTTGTTTCGGCTAAAGTAAATCAGGCTCTGGTAACCCATTGAAGCCTTTAAGTTCTAGTGCGGTTCTTGACTACAGAGATCTACCTGTGGGGGCAAACAGGATCCTAGTTCGGTTACTATGTGATTTTGGATCTAGGGCTGGTTTTCTACATAACAGTTCATACATACATGGAGTTCTACTGGTTTCTTCATAAAAATCCAGAAGCAAAGCGACAAATGAAGGAAAATGTTTTCAAAAAACATACAAAACAAAGCTATGCAGATATGAAAGCAAAACAGAACAAGAAGGAAAGAGAATTTGCTTACCAGGTTAAAGAAGAATGGACTAAAGTTGAAAATCTGTTGCAGTAAAAAGAAGAACTCGAGCAGCAAGAAAGCAGAGAGAGAGGATGAAGGAATAGTAAAAAGTGAAGATACCCTAGCTTCAGGGATTACTTTTGTTAGAGCCCAAAATTTGGGCGGGAACTGTTTCAAGATCACAAAGCACGAAGACGGCGTGACAGCCGTCCTTAACCAATCAAAAAATGCCACGTGTCATAAGAATGGGAAGCGTTACAGACACTATGATTGAAGAGACGTTTTTGACCGGACAAAACAGGGCCCGGAGTAAAATTAGCTCGGCTGAAAAATTCGAGGGTTTTTAGCTCGGCTGGAATAGCTTAAAACGACGTCAGCTCGGCTGATGGACTGGTAATCCCAATCATGCTATGCAGATGGAATTAAGGGGCAATTGAGAGGGTAATTTTTGGGAAAAATTGGGCCGAGCTGCGAGTTGGGCATTGAGGCCCAAAACGCGAAGGACTAAGTAAGAAGGCCGCAATAGATACTCCGGCCCAGAAGGGCAAAGTTATTTCGGCCCAAGGAGGTGAAATTACTTCGGCTCACGAAGGGTAGAGCTACTTCGGTTAGAAGATTGTAAATGAACTTCGGTTTGGGAGCAACTTGAAGTTATACCGGCCTTAGAGGCATACCGGTTTGAGAGTTATACCGGTCGAGTCGTTGGTTCGGTCCGAACACACCACGGTTCATGTATGAGAGAACCGAGATATGATAGCGTGAAGAAGAACCGAACAACTGTTAGTACGGCCTACTTTGTGGCTCGGCATAACCCTTTTTACTTCGGTCAAATGGAAGTTCGGCCAGGAGAAGACCGAGCTAAGGATAGTTCGGCCCTCTGTGGCTCGGTATAGCCAATTTTACTTCGGTCAAATGGAAGTTCGGCCATAAAGAAAACCATCCCACTTGGTTTAAGCAGTGGGGGAGGGTGTAAAAGGATAAGCATTATCCTTAGGAGAATGAATCCTAGGAGGACTCTGCATGGAGAAATACAAGTCCTACTAGGATTGTGCCATATGAAACTTATAAAAGCTCACAAGCATCACCTTGGAGGAGGTAATTGGACTCAATCTTTTTGAGAACTTAGAGCTTTGTCTATTTGTCAAGTTTTCTGACTTAGGCATCGGAGAGGTTTCCGGCACACACCCGCCGGCTAGCTCACGTTTGTGTTTTCAGGTGACAAAGCGACGTCGTACGGAGGAGCAAGGACTTGGTCAACAGGATTATACGAGGAGAATTATTTCCTCCCCGTACAATTATGTTTTATATATTTTTTTAAAAAAAGTTAAAAAAATTAGTTTTTAATTATCTTTTTAAAATAGACTTTGTATTGTTTAAAAGAAGTTAATTTGAACAAAAACATCTCACATTTAGCTTAAAAAAAATTATTTAAAATAAATAAGTTCAAATTTAAAACTATAAATAAATTTTGTTAAATGCAACCTTAAGCTGTAATGTATTAAATTAAATTGAGGGAAAACATTTACACTTAATAATTTACTCTTTTTTTTATTGCCACTCATATGGTCAATAATCAATAATAATGCAGGGAAATGTTTCTCAAAAAGAATGGATTAAACGAATCCATAATAGCAATCACATTTATTTTATTAAATTATTTAGTAATTTCTTTTGGCTATCGTTCTATTTTAGCTAATCTCAATATTAAATTATCATTTTAAGCATTGTCACAGTGCTCTTATTAGACTCGAATATGTGTTGAATAACAAATATTCTACCGTAGGTAGTCAATAACGTCGATTCAACATCTTTAACGTCCCTAATTCAAAATTCAACTTAAAACTTTTTTCGTTTGACTCCTTTATGAACGATGGGTATGCTTGATAGAATCAACTATTGCATATGAATAAATAGGTAATAGCGTGCTAAAGGGGTGGTGATTTATTAGCAGTATGCAAAGTGACTTTGTAGGAATTACATATTTTTTGGTCCATCACATTGTAAAGTCCATCACATTCATGTATTTACAATTTCATGCAAAGGCATTGATACGAGTCTAACAAATCGAACTTCTACTTTCATCATGTTGGGGTTATAATTAATACCAATTTATTTTTATCAAGGTTTTTTGTTTTTTTTTAACCTACTCAAGTCCAACCAATGTGGATCTCTTGAAAGTTCTAACCATGGAGCATGCAAATTCCCAAAAAGCATGATGAGTTTCTCAACAAATTTCATTACGTTAATTGTCGCTCTTCGAGACTTTAGTTGTGAACTCCCATGACATAAGGTTACCAACTTTCTTAACCTTCCGACACTAGACAAACTATAACTAAAATCTTGTTTGGCAATTTTTATTTTTAATCTATCAGTCAAAAAATTATTAAAAAAATTTAAAAAATTAACAAGTTATATAAAAAGTCAAAATTTTTATTTTTTTTCTTTACTTTTCGTACATTGTTTTTATAAAAAAATTAAAAAATCATTCTAAACATTGTTTTGAGTATGACTTATAAATTAATTTTTTTACTTATTATAAAAAATGTATAAAAAAAATAAAGAAATAATATGACCCGAATAAATTAATAAGTTAACTTTTTTTAACACTGTCCAAAAGATTCATACATTTTTTTATCTCATATTTTAATTAAAAATAATAATAATAAAATATTAAAATAACATTTTCTCAAATGATACCTAATTTGCAACTCACTCTTCATTTGAGTATAAAGTAATTTATGAAGTTACTAGTGTACCAAACAAAATTGATCACAAGCAAGCTCCTCATTACTTACCCTCTATGACTAAACTACCCCCACATTTTCAAATAAATGGCAATCCTAAGATAGGCATAATTGGAAGAAGAAAAAAATCTCTCACAGACTCGCAAAAACCACCCACATATACGCACACATACGGGAAAGGAACCCAAAGCCCTATTTTCTCTCTGCGCCATAGTTCTTTCGTCTCTCCATCAAAATCCAAACCCTAATTCATAAACACAACAAACTCTCATATACGGACTCATATATATACAATTTCAATCCTATACTTTCCATTTCTCTGTTCAATTTCACCACAGATTCAAACCCTACAGCCATGTCGAGCCTCCCTGAGGAGGTTCTCGCCGACATACTCTCCCGATTGCCGGTGAAGCAACTTCTTCGATTCAGGTCTGTATCCTCTCTTTGGCGTGCCTTAATCGACAGTTCTGATTTCGTAAAGTTACATCTGAATCGATCGATCGAAACCAAGAGCAATCTGAGCCTTATTCTTCGAGACAATCACCGACTCTATTCGATCGAATTTGATTCTCTCTCCTCCGCCGTGACTGCCGTGCAGCTCGATCACCACCCGCTTCGATGTCAGGACTACGGAACTGAGGTATGGGGTTCTTGTAATGGGTTGCTCTGTTTGGCCAATGCTTTGGACACTCTTGTTTTGTGGAACCCATCGAATCGAAATTCCCGAAGATTGCCTCACGCGGCTGTGGAGTTTCAGAACCTGTCTAAGTATTACGAGAATCGAATTTACGGATTTGGGTATGATAGTGGTAGTGATGATTACAAGGTGGTTAGGATTGTGGCGATCAAAGGGGTGAATGATGATTACTTTGATTATGAAGTTAAAGTTTATAGCTTGAAATCGAATTCGTGGCATAGGGCTAAGAAGTTCCCTCATTTCCCTAATTTGAAAAAATCGGGTGGTGCACTTGCCGGTGGTGCTTTGCATTGGGTTGTGACTGAAGAACTCGAGGTCTATACCGCTGGATTGATTGTTTCTTTTGATCTCTGCCGTGAGGAATATGGGTTTGTGCCACAACCCGATTACTCAGATATGAATTTCTTTATGTCTGTTCAGGAATTGGAGGGTTGTCTTTCAGTGCTTTGTTACTATTACTTAGCTGGTGTTCATTTATGGGTGATGAAAGATTATGGAGTGAAGGAATCTTGGACTAAGTTGGTTACAGTTGCGGAACCGGGTGTGGTTAGGCCTCCTCCGTATATGCGGCCTCTTGTTTATTCAAAGAATGGTGGGGAACGACTATTGGAACAAGACATGGAAGGGCTTCTTTGGTATGACCTAAAACGCAAGAGGGTGGTCAAGAATGTTGTGATTCATGGCATAGAAGAATTGGTGCAAGTGGAGATGTGCGTGGGAAGCCTTGTTCCTATCAATAGTGGTGTTGGTGAAAGTGAATCGAAAAAACGAGAAGATCGAGATGAGAAGAAAATGTATGCTAACACCAATCTAACTAGTTCTTTTAATTCTATATATTTTGTTGTGTTTATACTGCCTTAGTCTTTCTTGCTTTCCCTTGTTCACTATAGACATGATTTTAATACACTTATTGATGTGTTGATATACATAATTTTGAGACTCCTATTAACATGCTTAGAATATGTAATTTGCAATTACAGTTGGTGACATAATGAAATATGTCATTTGCAATTAGATTGTGCTTTTAAATAGATATATGGCTTGCACATAATGCTTTTTATTTATTTTAATTTGATATGGATTTCAAATGCTTAGGGTGTCTAGAGTTCTTATCCTTCAGTGGTGTATATAGTAAGGCATGAAAATTCTATTACCTTTTTTTAAGTGATCTATATGTCATTTGCAAATTGACTGTCTTACCAACATAATAGAATACATCATTTGCAATTAGACTATGAATTTAAATATGTGTTGCATATAATGCTTTTTTATAAGTTTAATTTAATTTAGTATGGATTTCAACTGCGTAGCGAGTCTAGAGTTCTTATCCTTCAATGGTATATATTGTAAGGGTTGAACGTTCTAATACTTCTTAAGTGACCTTCTTTGATCTCTCAGGGATAATTTCCTGTCTAAGGGGTTCAAACTGGTGCTGTAAGCTCTACTGGAAGAAGAAATAGGAGAGGAGCTATGTTGGAGAGGTAGGTTAATGAACAGCTTTTCTCTTCTGATTTGTTCAACTTTTGTTTTTGTTAACATTTCATTGTTTTATTTGGGCCTCATTTGGGAAAAACTTTTGACCTTGTTTGCCTGTTTTTTGTTTTTTGTCCTTGCAAACTTTTTTAAAATTTTGTCATTTTTTAACATTTCAGGTGCTTGTGGACTCTATACCCTAAAAAAAAATGCTATTTTTTGTAAAATTCATTTTTTTCGATCTGTGGTTTTATGTGTGCTTGTCCGCCCACCTGCCCAATAGAAATATTGCAGTAGGCACTGAATCTGAAAGAGCAACCATTATTAGTTTTGATGGGTTCTCTTATTTATGAAATGTCTACATTCAAGGTTGCAGTCTTAGTTGTGATAGGCAGATTCATCCATCAGTTGGGGATATTTCATGTGCATTGAAAATATTGAGGAACTGATACTTTGTAGCTAAAATGATGATTACAAAGCATTGTGACAATTGGTTAGATGTGCTAACGCCTTGCACTCATGCCTATGAATGGGTGCTCTTGGGCATGGTCGGAGTATTTTAGCGGGTTTGGAATCTCTTGATTAAGCGAGGCAAGTTGTAGGAAGAAAAATATTAGGGCGAACCCATGGATTCTCGGATTATTAGACTTCCAATTATGAGAGTAGCTGATTTATGAATTTAAACAATGGTGTCTTCATAAAATTCTGACTTATTTGCCGGTGACTTTCAACCCAAAATCTTGTAAGCCCAAATTGCCTTTTATGATTCAGGGGATGGAATTATTGCTCACTATGCTAATTCTGGCGGCTAAAATGTTAATCAGGCTATTCTCTTCTTGCAGATGAGTTCAATTGTGGAAGCTGGCAATTTGCAATGACAAGCAAGTAATCAGCACTATCAAGCAAAAGATCAGCATTGTTGTATCATGGCATGGTCTACATTGCTTGTATCTGAAATCTGAGGAAATTTATGCATCAAACAACTTGTTAAGAAGACGTTCCTGCAAATCTTTTGTTCATTTTTCCTTGAGAGGAGACTGCTGAACTTTTGCCTGTTTGGTATTTTTTTGAACCATTCTCATTTTTATTTCAACTTCCTTTTCCAACTTTTCAAAATGGAACTGATGAAATTTTTTAGGATGATTTTGTTTTGAATCTGAATTTTTGTGAGAATACAGAAATTTTGCATTGGTTTCTTGAAAATAGGTTTTTTCACAAAAACTAATGAAATGGTTCTGCTGAACAAGCTTTGTGTTGCTTTTATTTTTTCTGTTTGAGGATAAAATAGTTTTCAGAAACAATACCAAACAGGTACTAATACTCTTTTGAGTTTTCTAAACAGGCCGATGATCCATTTTATATTCCTTATCGCTCATACATGAGGTTTATGGACACCGAAATAACATCTGTTTTTAACAAAAGCTAGTGAATGTGTGGAACAGCAGAAGGCTATTTTCCAGCTTGATTTTTTGACACAGATTTTTTATGATTTTCATCATACATGTGATGCTCAAGGCTGGTTGGTGGCTCTGGTTTTATGGGAAGCTCGACAAGTTTCAGTTAGATATGGGACCTATGTTTGTGGATGTTTTGGTGTATGATTGTTCAAGTGCCTAGACATGAAGTAGCTGAAGCACATGGTATACTGAAAAGCAGACCCTAAATACAAGCATTATGTCATGTGTAATTATTATGTTGCTGTAATTTTCTTGTTTTTATTAGTGGAAAAAAGGAAACCAAATAGTAGCTTTCTTTTGTTTCTTGTGGTACGCATTTATTTGCATGATTGTGGAATGAGCTGCCAACTATGGTGTGGTTGTGCTTGTAAGTGTTGTCTCCTTGGTGGTTTGCTTTCAATCCAAGAACATTGTATTCATTTCCAATGGCATTAGGTGCAAATGAAACAGCCATCCTCACAAAAATTGCATTAGCTCCTCTTTTAAGTTGCTTTTACTTGATTTCTTTGAAGAAAAATGAAGGAAGATATAAATTTTTTTTTTTTTAATTATGTTTCTGGGTTTAACGACAAGAAACATATGTTTGGGTGTTACTTATCGTTCTCATCTTTTTTCTTTTTCTTTTTCTTTTTTATTTTTTAATTTTTTAATGTGATCCAAACATGGTTTAATTATGTTCAATTATGTGTTTATCGATATCCACTTAACCTATTCAACAGAATAAACAGTTCAAATCAAAATAAACTTCTCAAATCATAGAAGGAGACATGAAATAGACCCCCACCGAGAGGCACAGCACAACAGTGATCCCAAAATCCAACATTGATGGCGCAACTTTCATCAGGATGTTACATTTATTTCTCACCACTTATACAAGCATACAAGCATTAATGTCTAAAAATAAAAAATTTGACCGACAAACAGTAAAATTCTATACTCTCTATAAATGGAAGTTCCTATCATAATTCATAGCTCAAAAAAATTACACAGAATCCAGGAAATGAACATAAAGTAGGTATCTTCCTCACTAGACCACAAAAAGAAACCAAAAACAACATGAGATTTTAAGTCAGCAAACCCTTGGGATCTGTCTTTTGAAATACCCCCCTTAAAGATGACCTATTCCAAACTCCAAGCTCAGCACTTGACAATCCCCACGACGACAAGGGAAAATAAAAACACTAAAAATTCTTCATTAGTTGTGCAACATCCACTGCATTATGTCTTTCCTGATCACTCCCTCAAATCCACCTCTTCCATGGCTTAATCTATGTGCTTCGGGGCCAGAGAAGCACAAATGCCTGTGCTGAATGTTAGTTCCAGCAGGGTTAATTGGCCTCATCATCATTGCAATGGTGGGAAATGATTTAGGCCATATATTTCTTGTTGAGGTAAACAGACGCCTACCAGATTCACGAACCCCACTGGTACTGAATCTTTGGAAGCCCCCAGGAGTCTTCTGGTGAGATGAATTGGTGAGCTGCTTTGTTGCGTTCATGTTTGCATTACCACCAGAGATGGGTTTTCCTGTGGGGGGTCCACGGATGTGAGCTGATGGTTTCATCTTGTCAAGATAACGGAGGATCCAGTTGCCAAGATTCCGACCAACTGCAATATCTCTGTGTTGTATGTTCTGGTGAACTTTGAGCACCACATCAAATACAGCGCGTGTTTTTCTGTGTTGCGAAGAAGAAAAATAAGAACATACGACTTTTTTAAAAGATAGCTATGTTAGCAGCAATACCACACAAGCAAGAAACAATAGAATATGGATTCAGTTCAAGTGACAAAGGAACAAGCAAACTAGGGAAAGTTTGGATCTGTCCATGTGTCTTCACTAATGTGAGTGCAACAATCTTTAAGAAAGTAATTAAACAACAGCAATTACAAGAAATAGAAAGGACGTCCTCAGGTTTTAAAAACTAACACTAATCCAAAATAACAATTTGATGAACAATAATTCCATGTGATTAAAATGATTGGCAACATTTGTATAATAAGAAACATGCCAAACAGGAAGATATTACATCCAGAGATTTTAAAAAATCCTTGTATTATTGTAAGTTTGAAAATTGTTGAAATTTTTCCAAAAACGGCAGGAAGAAGACAAGGAAATTTCTATAAAAAATAAAACTGTAAGACGGAATTTTTTTAATTATTATTATTATAAACAAGTGCCATGAAATTCCCAATATAAAGGAAAGTGGCTTTCATTATCTGTATAATTTTTCCTTTACTTGAGTTGCAAGCTGCCACAATCTTGCTCCAGCATATAGGTCAGATATTGCCCCAATTTAGTCACCATTTGATGGGGGTTCTAAGATGGATAGTTTGGGTATAGACCTAAACTTTGGCATAATTTGCACAAAGTGGCTACCCTCAGGTTCAAAGCCACAACCTCAAGGATACTAGGCCAAGTTTTAACCATTGAAAAGCAAGTGTATTGTATAAAATTAAAAATTGAATTTGCATCAGTAAACTAGCATGCAAAAGCAGCTGGATTAATGCCAATGAACTTCCAAAAATCAGTACATTTACTAGTTTAAAAGGTGCTCATACTTAAGAAGGCCATACCCAGTGCACAAGGCTCCCACTTACCACATGGTCTGGGAGAGGTAGCAGATAGGGCAACCATACCCTCACCACTTTGTGTGTGTGTGTGTGTGGAGAGGTTGATTCTAGTGACTTGAACAAGAAACCACATGGCTGGGGGTGGATTGCACTTGCCATCATGTCAGGTTACAATGTCTAACAAGTGCTCATACTTATCCCCAAAAAGGAGGTGCTCATGCCTCACAGCAATGCAAAACATGAAAAATCATATATACTAGTATTCATTGCAAAACTTTTTAATGTAACGCAAAATCAATACAGACCATACCAATATCTCAGCCTGCAGTTTGTAGAAACCAGAAGTTAGTGGCATCCTGACCAAAGATGCATTAATGTAATATGTAAACACACGAGTAATATAAAAAGTATTTCCGGGGAACCAAGTTTTGTATTATTATAATGTAATTTTATACAAACCACAAAATTATAGAAACATGTTAATGTGAGAATCACTACATACACAACGTAATCCATTGGCCTTAAATTCATTAGTAAATCTGAGCCTTAGTTCCCATTCTCCTTTTCTGTTATAAAAAAAATGTCTGAGGCTCCACTTGGGGTTGCTTATTTGAGGGTGTTTCTGCTTACTTTTAAGTTGAAGCACCAAAAAGGACCTTGATAAGGTAAGAAGTGGCTTGAAATTAAGAAATTACCCTACTTACATGCTTCTCAACTTATTTCTTCAATGGGGCACACTCATACACACAATGAATTATAACAATTTCCATGTTCTTATTTTTAGTACTTTTCAAGCAACATTTCCAAACACATTAACTGTTTATTTTTTCAGCACCTAAATAAATTCCTTTGGTGGGTATGTAAGTCAAATACCATAAATAAGGGGACTCGTGCATATTTCAAGGAGAACCTTCAATACTCTAATATCAAATATGCATATCTCAATTTGTGTCACTTGAAATTTTAAGCACCTCTCAAAAATAGGCCAAAAATTCAAGGTGCTAAATTGGGTTATCAAACACCACCCACGTCACGGACTTCTTTAAATGCTGAATATTGAATTTTTATAGTAAGCTCTTTTATTGTATCTACATTGGTCTTTCTCTAGATGGCTCTACAAAATCCTCCTTCGTTTGAAATACAATGCTGTGACGAAGTGAGAAGTTTCAAACTTAAACAAATGATTATATATATACATATATATCTAGGTAAACAACAAAGACTATCAATTTTAAGGGGTTAGATTAGCCCATTTAGAGATTTGTTTTGCCCAACTTCATCATCTCTTTCCAATCCCTATGATAACTAAGAAATTTGTGAGTTAGTAGGGATTTTTTTTTTTTTTTTTTTTAAAGCAAGTAGAAAGAGTGAGCTCAAAATTTGTGTGCAAGTTAAGGTACAAAGAACTTAGTAGCATGATCCCACTTCTGTAAGTAAATACCTTCGCCAATTTGAGGAAGGGCACAACACAATAGCGTATGGTTGGATTCTACTAGTGAGGATATCGACTTATATAACGATAATCATTTTAGTAGCAAAAATATTTCCTATCTAATTTCATCAACCCAAATATCCAAGAATAATTATCATGCTTCAAATTATCTTAATACATGGGTAACACTAAACAAATCTCTAAATCAACCCCCAAATAGGATGACACGTATTTATGCATTTTGAGTACATTGCAATTCCCTTGCATAGTTACATGGGTAATGGATCATAAATCTTGAAGGTTGCTAGAATTTTTTAAAAATAATAGTAATAATAACAAAGCAAACGCCAAATAGAATGCTAAGACAAGAGACTTCAAATTGGCTTTTTCAACTTTCATTCCAATAACTTGTAAGCTATGATATTTCTTATCTCATATCACTAGACATTAATTCCAGACTGAAGAAATCCACAGAAACTCTGCATTAAAGATGCGATTTTTTCACCTTTAAATTATTATTAATTTTTTTTTTTTTTTTTTTGGATTTTTCAAAAAAAAAAATTACTTTTTTTTAAACATTCTTCTGAACCAGACCGATTTAAAAGAAAAGGTCGTATAGTAATTTGTGGTCATTCATTTAGGTAATGTTGATCTAATAATTGGAAAGGGTTTAGATCAATCATTATTCAATAGAAACTGCGATCAATCACTGAAAAAATAAAAGAAAAAAAACAGCAATACAGATTGGAGAAAATTGAGAGATTAATACCCGCGAGCAAATTGACGGATCTGAGTATGCTTAGGGCTAATGAGTCGACGCTGAATCTTGAGAGCGAGCCTGTAAGTCCGTTTCAATCCCAAGAAATACGCTGTTCCCAGCGTGATCTCCCACAGCACCATTGTTTCTCTCCCTCTCTCTCTCTCTCTCTGAATCTGTCTCTTCGTTTTCGTAGTGTTGTTTTTTTTTTTTTTTTTTTGGGTGTTTTTAAGTTTCGTTTTCGTTTCTCGCAAGTCTGAGATGCCTTTGGGAGCCGCCAGATTATCCCAACCTGCTTCTACATGTCTTCGTTTACCGTTACCGATCTCTCTCACATGTCATCACAGACGCCATCAATATTATGGGCTTCTATATGGGCCTGACCCATTTACTCTTGGGCCCTCTTGGTTTCTCATATTGATGTTTTCTTTTTCGTTTTCTTTTTCTTTTTTGGGAAGGAAAGTTTGGAAAGTTCAAAAAAAAATAGTTAAGAAGTCACAAAAACTCAAAAATTATACAAAAAAATAACATTTTTTTTCTCTTTATCTTTTGCACTTTTTTCGTAAAAAAAATAAAAAATTATCCTATATATTTTATTTTTTTTCACCTCATATTTTAATCAAAAAATTAAAAAAATATTAAAATATCACATTCTCAAACCAACTTAAATTTTAGTTAAAATAAAAAAGGCACATAGAACTATCTGTAAACAGGCCTATTTTGGGAAGTATGTTAAAAATCACTTTTTAATTCTTAACCCACTTCCTTTTTAAAAAAAAAAAAAAAAAAGACCCAAAAGTCAAAAGTAAAAAAAAATCAAAAAAATTAATTTTTTACTATCTTCTCAAAATAAATGAAATTATTTTTTATGGCATGTCTTATTATGAGAGTGTTTTGCATTTCATAAAAAGTCAACTTTTTAGCTTAAAAAGTTCAAAAAAACTGCTTGTCAAAAGTCAAATAGCATATTAATTTTCACACATAAAGAATAATTCTTTTACAAACATTCCAATTGTATTATGTGTATTTAACTTTTAAAAAAGTCCAAATATTAAAAAAATTACTTTTAAAACCAATCCTAACACCCTCTATATGGAAAAATTATGGGTTGATCCTAAGACGTCACGTGGCCAAATGCCATATTAATCATAATTTATCATATCTCTTATATTCTTCAATCACTCAACACAAATTCGTGAGTCTCATTTCCTCTACCAATGGCAATACTGTTACCAACAAATAACTTCTCCTCTATATGACCACAATTGTTTTGCTGCTGGATTGGTTATTGCTAATAAAAGTTATTGAATTTGTGATGAGCTGATGTAGTGGACAATTTATCAAATCCCTTTATTCTGTATAAAAATTATGTGCAAATATTTTATTTATATAACATTACTCTTCTAAAGTCTAAATTTATTTGAATTCAGTATCTATTTAAATAGAGTGCAAGATGATCCGAACATATATTTATAAAAAATTTAAAAAGGACTATTCTACAAACAAATGTTTATGGGGCAGTCCACTTTTTCTTTTGATGCCTTGGTATCGAACTCTTTAAAAAAACAAATAAAATGAAAAAAAAACAAGATGTTATAATTTTTAGGGTAAATAACAATTTAATCCTTTGTAGTTTACTCAAAAAAGACGGAACCCTCTTGTAATTTTATTTGTAACACTTAAATCCCTAAACTTTATGGCATGTAATTTCTGACGGACGTAATAGAAATGCACAAAACCACATCATTTTGTACAATGCCTGATCAAAAACAAAAAAGAAAAAAGGGGAAAGAAGAGAGAGAAGGAGAAACATAAATATGAACATCTATATAATAAGGGAAGAAGCTTTTTGAAAACGTGTGAAAATGTATGAGAGATACATTTGTATCTAACGGTTGTCTCCCAAACACTATGCTTCTGTCTCTCAAACACTCCTCTCATTCCTGCCCAAGTGTATCAACCACTCTTCTTTCATGTCTGCCTTCTACCTACCCCTTCTCCCTCTCATCTTCTTGATTTCAAATTTTAAACTCTTTATCTACCCATTTCTCTCTCAGCTTTTGCCTCTACATTTCTCTGTGGCTTCATCAGAGCTTACTCTGACCGTCGTTCAAAATCACTCCGACCTGCAGCTCGGTTCTCTCCGGCAGCTCAGTTCACTCCGATCGTCGTTCACTCCAGCAGTTCGGTTACAAAATCAGAGCTCTGATCGACCACTCCTGTAAGCTTATTACAATATGAGTTTGGTGTGATTTTATTTTTATGATTTGGGTTTGATGTCTTTGTTGGGGTGGGGCTTTTTTTAGGTTGGTCTACTCTGGGTTTGAATTTAGTTTGGCCCTCATTATAATCGGGGTTTGATATATTGGAATATCTGGGTTTGATATGTTGTTGTTGGAATATTGGAATATCTGGGTTTGTATACATATCTATTGGTCTAATTTGGCTGACTTGATCTAATTTGGGTTTGATAACACTCTGGCTGACTTGGTTCTCTCTTTCATTCATTCATCTAATATCAATGGAGTTTGTATTCATTTGTATTCATGTATTCATCTGATATGTGATATGAATTTGTATTCATTTCTATATGTATTGGTCTAACTGATAGTTTATAGTTGATAGTTGATATGTTTTGGATAGTTGATAGTTCATCTGACTGATAGTTTATCTGATAGTTGATAGTTTATAGTCTATATGTATTCATCAACGAAGTCTCATTTCTATATTGTATCTATTGCTCTAACTGATATGTTTTGGATGTATATAGATAGATTATATAACAGAACCTTAGTTAAGTTAGATTGTCTTTAGACTTGAACTCATGTTCTCAAACTTCGCAGCCTGATCATTCACTGTTGTAGCAATCTCCATACTAACTGTATGTATATTTTTTTAATTGTTCTAATACGATTAATATTTCTGAGACTTCACTTATCAGGAAAATAATTTTGAGTACTTTAATTTATTATTAATAAACTAATTGGCTCAATAATCATGGCCATAAGAACTCCTTTCATGCTTAAGCTATAATTCCCATGGATAGTGAAATGATAATAAAAAACCAAGAAAAAACTGGTTGGGATAGAAATTCCGTGAATGTTTTTCTATCCTATTCCCTAAGAAAAGGATTACCATCATTGAACGAGAGATGAGTTGGCCAATTCCCTCATATATTTTGGTCATAATCCCTCTTCTGCTTTATTAATTTTGGCATAGTAAAGTATCCCATACCCATTTCAATTAAAAAGGAGCAGTTCCCAAACCACCAATTTAGTCAACCAACCACATGACAAAATAACATAAATTTACTGCAACCAAGGATATATATACATATATATTGATCAATCACAACTAAGTAAACTTTTCTATTAAGACACAACAAGTGAAAACTGATAGTGTATAGGATTTCTATTTCTATTTATTTTTCTATTTTTGTTTTTCTATTTGGTTTCTAAACTCATATGTTTGCAAGTATAAACTGATAGTGTTTTTCTATTTGGTTTCAAAACTGATAGTCTATAGGATTTCTATATTTCTATGTTTCTATATTTCTATGTTTCTCCTAGGTGATATTTTCATAAATTTAATTTTTTTTTCTTTCCTTTTAAACAAAGCCCAAAGTAATTGTTGCTATCAAGTTGTTACTTTCTTTGGTTGCTTTCTTTGTACCATTGTTTTTTTTTTTTTAAATTACATAAACTCCATACATATGATAAACTCCATACTTTCAGCTTGATATGCTTTTGAGGCAAACAAATTCAAGCAACTTTTTGTAACTTCAGAGAAACCCATCACAGCATTTTTTAGTTTTATTACAAAGCTACAGAAACCAATTCCACTCTCATCAGTATCTTTGGGTTTAATTGGTTGATGGGTCAAATCTAGGGCATGCCAAAGGCATTCAATAGCCATCTTAGGGACTCTTGAGTTGGTCGTCACTACTTCTAGCTACCACATCCCTCTACCTTAATATCTCACATTTGTCTTAGATGTAGACAAATGAGGGTGTGGAGGAGAAAGAGATGAGTTGTCGTTGAGTGTTGCTATGGGAGGGGGATGGTAGACAATGGTGGGGCAAGGCAGGGGAGGGAATTATATAGAGGGATGCCCTAAACATAACAATCACACTAACTTTTATTACATCATATTCAGAGGTGAGGGTGGGAGGGATGTCTATAAACCATAGGGAGTTAAGTGCTTATTTTAGTGTTAGGGAGTTATGCACATGTGGTCCAAACCACAAAGAGGTAAAGTGAAATTTACTATTAAACTTTAAATCTTGAGAGTTCCTAATTCAATTTTGCCTAATAAAGAAAACATTTTCTTATTTGTTTGTTATATGCTTTCTATAATAATATGCAAGAGATTTCTATTAGTTATTTTCTTATTTTTCTTGAGTTTGAATTAAGCATTCACTATGTTTGATATGAGTATCCATTGAAGCAATCATATAGGTCATTTACTATAATAATATGCAAGAGGTTTCTCATATGTTTTATTACGGATATTCATTATTTTTTTGCAAAACTTTCTTATTAGGATAATTAGATTTCACATTTCATTGATCCTTTCTCGCTTCTCAATTCCCCCATATATTTTGGTCATAATCCTTATTCTGCTTTATTAATTATGGCACAGTAAAGTATCCCATACCCACTTCAATTAAAAAGGAGCAATTCCCAAACCACCAATTTAGTCAACTAACCGCATGACAAAATAACATAAATTTACTACAACCAAGGATATATATACATATATATTGATCAGTCAATATCAACATAAGAAAATTCAATGGAGCACAACTAAGTAAACTTTTCTATTAAGAAACAACAAGTGAAAAATTGATCAGTCAATATCAACATAAGAAAATTCAATGGAGCACAACTAAGTAAACTTTTCTATTAAGAAACAACAAGTGAAAATATTATGCAAGTATAAACTGAGTGTATAGGATTTCTATTTGTGTTTATTTTTCTATTTGGTTTCTAAACTGATATGTTTGCTCTAATTTTCTATTTGTATTTTTCTATTTGTGTTTTTCTATGTTTCTATATTTTTCTATTTAATTTCCTTTTAATATTTCTTTTTTTTTTTTGGCATCTTTTTAAGGGAGTATAGTATTATATGTTGTATTTCAAAAAATTTTGATGAATGTATATATGTGTGTATTACTTTATCTATCTTCATAAAAAAAAATGTATTAAACTTACAAGTATTTAACTTAACGCAAGTATTTAACATAATCTGTTTTGCTTTGAATCAAATTCACCAAGTATTTAACTTAATCCAAAAAAATCTATTTA